TTTACACCTTGCAGCCTTAACATTTTAATGGGATTCAGAACATCTTTTCTTAATGTATTCCATAGCCTTTGCAATATATGCAAATAAGAGCCTAAATAGAAAGAGTGGGAGACAGAAGAATAAGATTTGCTGACTTGCCTCCTCATTCTGAGGAGTTCAGATTCTCAACTTTATTAAGTTTTCTGTTTTTCTACATCCTGCTCTTAAGACAATCGATTTAATGAAATATTGTGCGTAGAAAGTAAAATAAAGTAGCAGACTTAATAGTAAAATTAAAATACCCAACAAGTTTATTTCAATTCACAGGATTCAGTTCAGGAAGGATTGATATGGAAGTTTTGAGCAATCGGAACCAGCACTCTGCCAGACATGTGAACCTGGCTACTTTGATTAGAAAGAACCATCTCCTTAAATTTTAGATATTAGGAATAAGGTCATTAAAAGGAAGGGGAGGGAAGCAATAATAGGACAAGGCTGAACCACAAGTGACCAAACACCTGCCTAGAGCTGGTGCCATGGACCCAAAAGAATCAGCATCCTAGAGAGCAACTACAGTCAAGAAACACAAGCTAGAATTAGGCAAGTTTTTCAGTGCAAGCAGATGTCCAAGAACAGATGGCAGCAGTGCTACTAAACTGTAGGCAATAAAGACACTGCTTGGGTGTGCTGTTCTTCAACACATGTTAAATACTGAAAGAAAGGAGAGGAAACCACCACCATCAGTATGTCCACATATTTCCAGAGCAACAAAACTGCCCTTAACAGTGCAATACATGGTTCCACACACGTTTTCAGCTGCTTGCTGCTAAGGTCAGTTGCAGCTTTTCACCCTACTGTATTGAATGTATTATACTTACTTCTTACTACTACAACAGCCTCTAAGTCATTCATAAAAAAATAACAGCCGCAATACATGGAGTGAGAACAATCAATACAACTGAAAAACCACAGGGCAGACTAAAATAGCAAAGTCCACCCCCCCCCCAGTAAAACACAGCAGTTGAAAACATCTTAAGAGTCAGGGATTCCCCCCTCTTGAGCACATCCTAGCTCACAATACAAAGCACTTGCCTCAGTAAGAAATCCACATCCCATCTAGATTTTCTCTTCCATCTACACCCAACCAATTTTCCTAAAACATGAACATAAAGTGTGCGGTACCCACTATTCATCCAATTTAAGGCATCCCACTCTATTCCCCATACCTCAAGCACATCCACCAACGCAGACAAATTCACCATCCACCCCATCGGTCCAACATCTCCCTCTTGAACAAGCGACTATCCCCAACCACTCCATCCACACACTAAAAATGCACTGCACATGTACATCAGGGCACTATGAAGCCACTCAGCGAATGAAACATATAAAGTATTGAAACAAATCCCCTTACATCAGTCACATTGTTGTAGAGATCCATCTCTCACCCAACACTCTCATCAAAGGATGCAATATTAGCGCGCTGTGTATTATTTTTCCCTTCTTAACCACCTGTAGCAGAGAGTGATCCAGTTTATGTTGGCTACTGTGTACGGAGGGCTGGGCTGGATGCTCTTCTGTTTCCCTCAAGTCCCATTACTGTAGGATTTGCGGGATGAATCTAGCAAACAAAAAGAATGCTTTACCTTCTGCAGTTTTGGTACGTTAAGGGTTTGAAAAAGGGAAAAACAAAACTTGAAACCAGATTCAATGTTTTGCATTTATTGGGCACCTGAAGTTTGGCTATCATTCATCAGAGATATAATTAAAAGTAACAAAAGAACTTGAATTCTACCCCTTTTCTACTACTGCGTTTAGGTGAAAACCAGCAACCATTGCTCTATTTGTAGCCATGACAACCATAAAATATTCTATTCCAGCAATAATTCACACTGAACGTTTGTTCTTGGGTTCTGTTGCTCCAAGCACTGTGAACATACTTCTTACGCTTCACAAGACCAGTTAACACTGAAAACTTGGGAGCATAGGAAACTTTCAAGCCACATCAGTTCACTCAAATCTACATAGAAGAGATTTGAGTTCTCCGTGAAGCTGTCTATACAAAGTGCTCGTTTTAACTTAATCCTCTTCAAATAAGGATCAAACACCACTATGAATCTAATAGCTTAGATAAAAGTTGTAGAAAAGAACCATTTGTCCAGATTCATTATGTTGACTGCAATAACCTAACTCCACATCCTCTGAAGGTGCAGTCCAAAGCACCAAGTTTACATTAAAATAATAATAATCCCATGAAACATGGTTGTAACTACATGCACTGATAGTTATTTCACTTATATAAGCCATGCTTCATTGCAAGCTGGGAAAAACCCTTCCGCAGACAGCCACAGTGAGGGGCAGGTTACACAGAGAAGAATAAAACCTTGTTACTCATTCAAATAAGAGTAGGTAACCCACTGTGAATAACTAAAGTTTCAAACTGTTGAATAAGGCTAAAACATGGTTGTACTTCACTTTGTGAAGTAAATGCCATTACCAGCTTAATCCAGTTGTAACAGAGTGCCACAGATGCCTTTTTAAAAAGGAATAGGAGGAACATAGTGATGCTTCTCTCATACAATCACATATATGAAGGGGGACCATAATTTAACAATTTGTTGAAACTTAAAAGATGGTAGTGTAGTGCTGCTATCGGCAATCTGATTGATTTGGCGGAGGAGACACCCAAAATTATTTCTGGTGAAATGTACACTAACAATATTAACACAATTTCTCAATAACAATTTGCTTTTTTCCTCTCCCCTCCCCCGACAAACTTTTAAACTTTATATTGATTTGTCTATAACTTAAGGGCTTCAATAAGTATCAATGATATCTATATTCACTTAGGCTTTAGTAACCTTTTAACAGCATAATCCTATAACAGGTCTTGAATTCAACGGGACTTGGTCCCAGGTAAATGTGGACATAACAACAGCCTTGATCACAACAGTAGATTTTAGAGGTCAGTCACACTTTTCAAAATGCACATGGAGCAAATCTTAAAAATGTATGCAATCAATCATTATCCCAAAACGTAACTGTTTGTACTATTACACAAACACCAAATCATTTACCCATCATAAAAACAAGGCACGAGAATTAAATGTGGAACAGGGTGATGGAGAGAATGAAGAAGAGAAACTATAGCTCATGAAAACCACAGCCGCTACAACAGAATCAAGTCTTCCAGTCAACAGAGATGTGTTATTTGAAAGTAAACATGCATAGGCTTAGGTAAGTCTCATCCGGTTCAATAGAACTTCCTGAAAGCCATGCCTAGGACTGTACACTATAAATGGTTCCTGGACACACCTTCAGTATAGAACTATTTATATTCTGCCAAAAGGCTACAAGGCACTCTACAATTCAGCTGCTGCCCAGAAACCTGACAACCTACATTAGGCAGACAGGATATATTTGGGGGGTAGCGGATGGAGGTTTGACAATGAGTAGCAGAGACTGGTTATGGGGATGCAGCAGCAGTGACTAACACACCTAGAAGTTACCCAATCTATTCAAGCTGTGTTTCCCCCGTGAGGGTCAACGCATTTTGAAACAAACTAAGAAAAGTCAGCCAGGGATGCCAGACCTGCACCAAGATCCCTGCAGATTTCATTCCGAGGTAGGCGACTGTCATTTTTTATTCCTTTCCGGACAGTTTTAATTAAAGATAGCCTCTGCCTTCTGGTGATGATGGATGATTTTGCAGTGGTGTGTGCTTTTAAACGGGGAAAGCCATCTACCAAACAGAGCCTTGTTTTATTATTTACCAAATTTTAAAAAAAAAATACACACGCAGTGCCAGAGGAAAAAAAATAAATGACACACTGCGTGGTTCCCTGCTCCTCCATTCAGAAGAGAGAGAAGTCAACCACCTTTGGAACTCATGCTCTGTGGGGTGAGGAAAGGTGCCTTTTAACCCACACCGAGAGGGAAGTTGAAGAGATGGCGAAGAGAGAAAGGTGGTGGTGGTGCTGGGAGAGAGTGACCGACGCGGGCGGAGGAAGCAGGGTGGGTGGCTGCCTCTCTCCCCGCACCTCACCCCCTCCGGTTACCTCAGAGCACCCCCGCGCTACCGAGGCTGGTCTTGCACCTCGCGCGCGCACACACAAAACACCCAAGCAGGAAGTTTTCCCAGGCAGGCGGCGAGCGCAGGCGCGAGGGGGGATTCGCCTTCGCCCGCCGCTCAACCCACCCGAGGCGACTTACTCCAGGCGGTGCCACCACCACAAACAGCGGCGGGGGCCACGAGACGCCACCTAGGAGCCTCGCTCCGCGGTCCTCCCTCTACCTTGCGTCGCGAGCTCCCCCTCCCTCCCCCCCCCCGCCGCCCCACATTGGCTCTTACCTTTCCCCTCTGGGCGGTGCGTGCGCTGGAGAGGCGAGGGGGCCCCGGCGCCGGCGCGTAATTACGCGCGTCCTTGGCGCGCGAAAGCGGCTGCTGCTTCTTCTGGGTTCTTCTTGTTCTTGCTCCTCTTCTTCTTCTTCTTCTTCGTCCTCCCCCCCACCTTCTTCAGGCAGGCGGAGAAGGAGGATGCACAGAAACAGCGGGAGGAGGAGGGGGAGAAGGAGGAGGAGGAGGGGGAGGCGGCTTCGGCATCGCAGCCTCTCCGCCCTCCCCCCCTACCGCAAAGCCCCGCACCGCCGCCGCTGCTGCTGCCGCCGCCGCCGCCTCCGGGGCTGCCCCCTCAGCCCCTCCGGAGGGCAGGCGCGAGGCGGCGCGGGGAGGGAGCGCGCGAGAGGCTGGCGGAGCGGGCGCGACTCGGGCAGACGGAGGCAGCTGGTTGCGGCGTCGAGACCATGCTCCCTTCTGGCTCGCTCCTGCTCGCACACTGGCCGCTTTAGCTGGAGAGGGAGGCGGCCTCGCAGCCCGGGCGAGGGGCGGGAGGAGCCAATCGCGGCCGCGGGGGGGAGGGACGAGGGCGGGGACGGGCTCCCTTTTCTGGCTCTTTTGCCTCCCCCCTCCTTCTTTCTCTCCCCCCCCCCTGCTCCTCCCGTGTGTCAACCCAGCCCAGCCTCCCGCACGGGGAGGGGTTCGGAGCGGGCAATTTGCACACAAGAGCGAGCAGCACCGCCGCGGCTGCCTTTGCCCGGGTCGCCCTTTTATTTATTTCATTCGCCGCCGCTTCTCCTTCCCCCTCTCCAAGCAGCCGGTGCTGTTCTTGGCGCTTCTTCTCCTCCTCCTCCTCGCAGGCAGCAGCCGGCAACCGCGAGCTGACGGTGCCATCCTGCAGGAAACGGAGCCCGCAGGCAGGGAGGTTTGTTCTCTTCCCTACGGAGGATGCAGAGCGCGAGGAGAAAAGAGATCAATGGCACCACTTCTGGTAAAGTTACACACGCGCACACACAGGGAGAGAAACAGCAGCTACCGTGGAGGTTGCAAAGAGACAGAAGCGGCCACCTGATCCACTGTTTATGCTGCTTGCCTCTTCCTCTAGCTCTCTGACTCATACGTGCTTTATATAGATGCGCTTGTACTGTATTTCCCTGGACTTTATAATCCGGCCGCGCTCACGCAGCGTTGTTGTGCGCATCTTTTCCGGGGAGGGAGAGAGCTGGCGGTTTCTTCTGGCGTTTCCATTCCTCCTGGCGACTGGCAGGCTAGGAAACGTGCTCGGGTAATGAAGCCCCGCCGCGATTGTCGAGGAAACTGCATTGACTGCTGTTGCTACTACGGTCTTATACGCTCGAAACATATATGCGAGGCACTGAGGGGGGGGGGAGGCTAACACACTCGCGCCCCCCCACACACACCTACCCCCCGGTGCAGCAGTGCACATCGTGCCCTTGCCTATTTATAAATCAATTTAACTCAAGTGCTTCAGCACAACGAGAATGCAACAGCACGATCTCGGGTCCATTTGCTTCCCAGCAAGCCACACTCAGTTCAATAGGGCTTGCTCTCAAGTAGCTCAAGGGTAGTAGTCTGGATAACTTTCTACTCATAAATAGGTGGTTTCCCGTAGGCCTGAGTCTGAATCCCACTGAAATCACCGGATGGGCGTTTCTCTATTGATGTGAAGGGGCAATCCATAATATCATTTTAAAGAACCAAATTGTGTATTGTCTGTAGAGGACTAGATATGAAACATGCATAGCCAAGATCTAGTGCAGTTAAGTGCATTGGAACCCCTTTATATTTAAGACCGCCTAAGTCTCCCTTGGACTGTGGCCCCTGTTTATCTCTCTACAGAAGCTTTCTGCTTACTTTCAGCGTGGGCAAACCTGCCTCTTCCAAAACACAGCCAGTTTGTTGACTTCGGTAGACCTGCTCCAGAGTAAATGATTACAGCCCTTGATTTAAACATTATCCAAATCATGCTTTGAAGAAAGGAGGGAGCAATCCACATGCTTGAATGTTTGCCACGGACAGATGTGCTCTAACATGCTGAAAGTAAGCCAGCCACCCTAAATAACAGTCATAATAGCAATCACAGCAACGATGAGCAGGAAAACGAAAGCACGGAAATCAGCGCCTTGTTCAAATGGGTAATGAAAGTGAAGAGTGAGGTTTAAATAAAGGACAAACGCATTCTAATGTCTGGAAGGAAACGAGATGGCACTGGAAAGGAAATTTCCCTTTCATCCACACTTGCCTTGCACACACACATATTGGCATGATTGCTGCTAGTACTATTGGAATTATTTTAGCTGAATATCCACACAGCCTGAAACAGGAAAACATGATCAATTCCGGGAGTGGATACACAGAATGCCTCTACTCTGAACTTGCCTGATTTCTGTACCAAAGTGAGATGTGTGGGTTCATAAGTTCAGATGTGTTTGAATGTGCGTTATTTCACACCCACCCACCCACAGCACTCTCCCAAGTCCTAGGCCATTTTTATCACAGGCTCTTTTAAAGAGAGAGCAAGAGAAGCAGACTCCTTTTTTTTTTGCCCATTGCATCTATTTGACCTAGAATCCAGTGAGAAACCTCACAGGGACTGTTGACCTGGTAAGTAGCATGGCAGTCCCTCAGAGGCGTTCAAATGTTCACAGAATGACTTCAAGGCTTTAGAGGACATGGAGTGGAAATTCTTTAGGAACCACGTAGGGTCATGCAAAGACCGTGTGATCTCAGAGAACCTGCTTGCTTTTTTGCCAGCTTATTGTTGTCTGACCTTTATGACACAGCCTAAGGATTACAAACAACTCTGCTTGCATATATATATATATATATATATATTTAAACAAACAACAAACAAACCCAAAACCAGTTTTAAATGGACAGGTTTACTGCCACAGCAGCATCTCCTTCAGGAACATTGCAGTAGCAGTAGCACATTAGTCAATGAAACCAATGAATCAAAATAATATAAATTAGAGCAAATGACAGTTATTTCAAAAATCCCAATATAAGAAGCAGGGATCAGGGCACTTCCAACAGATAAGCAGATCAGTAGGCTAGTCCATTAATGCAAGAGTGTGCATTGCCTTTCTATAGCAAGAAGTGACACAGACTTCTTGTCCATGTGTTATGCAGAAGCTATAATGGGCTTGAAAATGCATGAAAGGACATTCTGCAGAGTTCTGGTGCTCTTTTCTCCAAAGGTACTGCAACCCTGGGCAGAGTTATTTACAACATATTAAAACCACTCATCGACAGGTTAACAATCCCTAGACATGGCCTGAAAGAACATGAGAATACCACCTTGCAGGTCTGGGGCTGGTCAGGACCCGGAAGGACTGGGGACCACATGCATGGCACCATGCATGAAGGAAGAATGGGGGAAATATCTGGCAATTTGCAAAACCTATGAAGCAGTAAAGTACAAAAATACAATCAAATAGCACAAGGTCATGACATAGATTAAAAACAACAGCGGTACAGCTAATGTAAACCCATCATACACCATCATTAAACCTGTACAAAGCCAGTATACGGAGAAATAATAAGTGCCAGATATCTAAAATGAACAAAAAGCATACCTGAAAAGCCTGTGCCCCAGTGACCACAGTGGAGGTGCTAGGCAAGCTTCTCTCCCTAGTAAGCATTTGACTCACCTTATTTGGCAAAACATCCAGAGGAGATCCACTGATGAAGATCTCAAGAAGTAGAGAGACATTTTTGAGGTCATAATCTTAGTGCATGTAAAATAGCTGGAAACAAGGCTAAGTCTTGGTAGTGATCCTATGATCATGATGATGTGATGATGATGATACCCCACCCGTCTGGCTGGATTTCCCCAGACACTCTGGGTGGCTTACAACATATATAAAAACATAATAAAACATCAAACATTAAAAACTTCCCAGTACAGGGCTGCCTGTTATTCAAATATTATTCAAATAAAATTTGAAATGGTATGGTCATCCTACATTGAAAAAACAACAGCAAAGCATTTGTGAAAAAAATGTGAAAAAAATGCCTTCGTAAGACGAGGCAAATATGTTGAGATTAATATATATTGTGGTTTGGAATGGCTGGGGCACCAGATTAACTGGGGGACATCCATTGTTCCACGGAGAATATCTTCCAACAGAGATAAGCAGAGTAGCAGCTGCTGGTAAAGGTTTTTCGCCATCTCTTCAAAATGAGCATACCACTTATGTCCTTTCTTATAATGGCACAATCAGGGACGGCGGTTCAACATTTGGATCTTCTCCATTGTCTGATGGCTACAGCATCAAAAAGTGACCGCTACGTGTGGGTGAACCAATACAGGCCAAACAAAACTTTCCTATCATTTCAAAGACTGGGTTTTTCCAGTTGTGGGCTATTTTCAGCTGGAAATCATTAAGTGTTGCTAAAGCAGGGAGATTATGTTCTGTCCCAGGCAGTGGTCCCAGGTTTCTAGCACAAGTGAGAGCATGTGCTAGACACAGAATCAATAGGACACCAGGCAATATGTCACTAGTTTCAGTTCCAAATCCAGGCACCAAAGTCTGACCAAGCACAGATCAGGGTCCAGCAAGGCAAGGTCAGATGAAACAGAGGTTAAAATCCAGATAAATTGAGCTGGGTAAAACAGAAGACAAACTTGCAAATTGGGTAGAACCTTGGACAGCTCCAAGTGGCCTCTGGAGTGGAAGTCAGAAAAGTCCAGCTTGAATGCTGCTTCAACCAACTCAGAATGTGTCTTAAATAAGACTGTAGGATCCTCTGAGTAGCTAGTCTCATCTACTCTTAAAGAGGCCCAGCTTGTTTTACTGCTGACTCTTCAGGTCAAAGCCTCTTCAGGTCAGGGGGATCTCTGGTGCTCAACCTCCTAAGGATCTAAGAACTTCAAAGGCTAGTTTAGAAGGCATACTCTCTTCCTGGTCTGAGGTACCTTCTCATGGCCTCCTGCCCTGAAAACTGGAAGTCACAACCATTGCAAAAAATACTGGAAATACTTGAAAGAAACCAATATCACATATTGATACATTAAAGCATGATTTGCTGCTGTAGCCAAAATAAAGACAAACAAAACATATTTGCCATTTGTTGTGATGCAATTTGGTCCACTAATATGGTACATGTAAATTTGAAACTCACAACATCAAGCTATGTTGGAAGTAATGTAATTCAAGTTTTCAGCCATCTAACAGAGAAGTCACACATATTACATGTGGAGAATGTCCCAGTCCTCAAATTGGGCACTGTGCTGTATCTGAGCAATGTCAATAGCGCCAAAAGTGTTACTAAGGGGGAGAAATACCCTGTGGTTTCTGATTTTTTTGTACTTTATATCTCTTTGTTATGTTGTCTTTTATAATAAATAAAAACACTTTTTTTAAAGGACATGTGGAAACAGAAAAGGGCCTTCTCCATGATGGTGCCCCAGCTGTGAAACTCCCTCCATAAAGGACCATGAATGACTATGACAATGATTGGCTTCTGCTGCATAATGAAGACTTACATACTTGCTCTCCAAGGTTTTGGAGCCCATGTTTATTTTATTTTTTAACCTTTATTATATAATAGTTGTTGTGATTTTTTTCCTTGCTTTTTTCCCTTGCTTTTTATAATATGGGCTTCTTATTGGTAATTACTGTCGATATCATCCTATTGATATCTGAGGTCCTTTTTAAAAAACGAAAAGTGGTATACAAGAATGCTAGATAAAATTAAGTGATGTCAAAGCATGGGTGAACCGGTCTTGTGTTTGGCCGCTGGGGGATGCTTTTATCGCACAGTAAAAGAGATACATGTTGATGTCAACAAGAAGACATGTCATGTCAGTGGGTATTCAACAATTTTATGCATTTTGTGGGGTGGAGCCTTTCAAAACTTCCAGGCTTCAACTACTGGTCCCAGCCCGCAGGTCAGCAATTATGGGAGTGGTAGCTCAGCAACAAAAGGAAGGCGAATGTTTAACCACTACTGCTTTAAATTTTTTTTTTAAAAAAATGCATAACAGGGTACACATCTCATAGTATGACAAAGCATACCCTCTGCATTTCTCTGATGAAAATAAGGTAAAGGTAAAGGGACCCCTGAGGGACGCGGGTGGCGCTGTGGGTAAAAGCCTCAGCGCCTAGGGCTTGCCGATTGAAAGGTCGGCGGTTCGAATCCCCGCGGCGGGGTGCGCTCCCGTCGTTCGGTCCCAGCACCTGCCAACCTAGCAGTTCGATAGCACCCCCGGGTGCAAGTAGATAAATAGGGACCGCTTACCAGCGGGAAGGTAAACGGCGTTCCGTGTGCTGCGCTGGCTCGCCAGATGCAGCTTTGTCACGCTGGCCACGTGACCCGGAAGTGTCTTTGGACAGCACTGGCCCCCGGCCTCTTAAGTGAGATGGGCGCACAACCCTAGAGTCTGTCAAGACTGGCCCGTATGGGCAGGGGTACCTTTACCTTTAAAGGGACCCCTGACCATTAGGTCCAGTCGTGGCCGACTCTGGGGTTGCAGCACTCATCTCGCTTTATTGGCCGAGGGAGCCGGCGTACAGCTTCTGGGTCATGTGGCCAGCATGACTAAGCCGCTTCTGGCGAACCAGAGCAGCACACGGAAATGTCTTTTACCTTCCCGCCGGAGAGGTACCTATTTATCTACTTGCACTGTGACGTGCTTTTGAACTGCTAGGTTGGCAGGAGCAGAGACCGAGCAACGGGAGCTCACCCCATCTGTCGCGGGGTTCAAACTGCCGACCTGCTGATCGGCCAGCCCTAGGGTATGTGGTTTAACCCACAGTGCCACCCGTGTCCCTTCTGATGAAAATAGGAACGTCCTATTCAACAACAACAATTTTACTATTTATACACCACCCATCTGTCTGGGTTGTCCCAGCCACTCTGGGCAGCGTCTAACATATATAAAAATATAATAAAACATGAAACTTTTTTTTTTAAAAAAACACCTTCCCTATATAGGGCCGCTTTCAAATGGCTCGGGGGTCAGATAACTCCACACCCTCCAACATTTCTCCGATGTAAATAGGGATGTCTTAAGGAAAAGCAGAACATTCCAGGATCAAAACAGAAACCTGGGACGGCTTCTGTAAATCTGGGACTGTCCCTGGAAAATAGAGACACTTGGAGGGTCTGTGAAAGTCTATTCTCTCCTTCTGTTCTTTAAATATGAATATAATGGGGGGGGGGAGAAAGAGAACATTTTGCTCAGTTTGTCAATCACACCTGTGCATTGCCTTTCCTTTATGGGTCACAGCATGGAATTCCAGCCTCACAATAACCCTATCAGGTAGCTTAATCTGAGAGATTTTGACTTGATAGTCATCATATACCTTGGTTTTGGAAAAATGTAGATCCCTGTACAGCCTCGGAGCTCACTGGAAAATACTGGAGCATTCACTATTTCTCAGCATAACCTCCCTCATGAGATTGTTGTCACCTCTTTGGCACAATGAGTGATAAATAAACTAAAATAAACAAATTTTACCCACAAAAAGGAAAATGGAGAAGAAAAGAATAGTAATAATCTAAACTTAGGTATGTTGAGTGCAGAAAATCTCACCCATTAAAACAAATGCGAAATGAGGGTTTTTGATTCAGCCACTGTTAATACTAAGGATTATTACAACAGGCAGATATTTTATTTTTATGATAAATCAATGATGTATCTTCTTCTGCTGTAAATTTTGTTCCAGCCTTTGAAACACCCGATGCCATTGCAGCCAAACGAACTATTGGCAGCACGAAACAGGTTTCAGTGGAATGATAAGCTGTGGTATTTTAACAAGACTTCCACAAAACACTTCCCCATATGCCATGCTGTAATAAACCCCTTGGCTTAGGTTACGATGTGCTAGCAGAAAGGGGGAAAGCAGCCCTCTCCCCACCATTTCTGCAGCAGACATGACCATGAAATTGGCCCAGTTTTGCATTAAGCTTAGGCTATAATTCCATTATTGCATACATGTGGATAAGACTGGTTTTGACAAGCAGGTCTCAAGAAATACTATTTATTTAGGGTCTTGCTTTGGATAAAAAACACTGAGTTCTTGAGAAGCCTGTCAATTGTTTCAGATTTCCCAGGTGTGAGGGAACTGTATGGTATTTTGTCTCCTATATTTACTTTGACAGTATTTGTGGAGGGCATGCAAGCTTAGCTTACCATTGATTTGCATAACTGGTTGAAAACCATAGTTTGCTAATTGACACTATGTTGTTGTTGTTCAGTCGTTTAGTCATGTCCGACTCTTCATGACTCCATGGACCAGAGCACACCAGGCACTCCTGTCTTCCACTGCCTCCCGCAGTTTGGTCAAACTCATGCTGGTAGCTTCGAGAACACTGTCCAACCATCTTGTCCTCTGTCGTCCCCTTCTCCTTATGCCCTCAATCTTTCCCAACATCAGGGTCTTTTCCAGGGAGTCTTCTCTTCTCATGAGGTGGCCAAAGTATTGGAGCCTCAGCTTCAGGATCTGTCCTTCCAGTGAGCACTCAGGGCTGATTTCCTTAAGAATGGATAGGTTTGATCTTCTTGCAGTCCATGGGACTCTCAAGAGTCTCCTCCAGCACCATAATTCAAAAGCATCAATTCTTCGGTGATCAGCCTTCTTTATGGTCCAGCTCTCACTTCCATGCTTTCTATAAAAAGAGGAAGTGTCTAATTAACTCTGTAAGGGAAGGAGGGAGCGTGTTTGAGCACAAGGCTTTGTTCCTGTAGCCCAAAACCATGGTTGGTATTATATATCTTGATGAGACAAACAGCTGAAGATAAACATAAGGGCTGTGCAAGCCCCTCTCCTCCAATTCAGTTTTGGGCCCAGTTCAGCAATTTAGACCAGATCCTGATTCTTTTCTGATAAATTTAGATTTGATCTGACCCAATAGGATCTTTGGTCCTCCCATTGACTCTAGAAAGCTCTAGAAAGCCTGCCTCCCATTTGAATCGATTTGTAGCTGCCTGGACCCAATTTAGATTTGGCCCAAATCGGCTTGATTTGGTTCAGGATTCAGGTTTGCACAGCCCTAATAAATGCTGCTGTCATTCACTTCCACTCTGGTGGGCCCCTATTAGAGACAGGATGATAGAACCATTGGCATCATGACAATTCTTATATGCTGATTTTCTGCAAGAAACCAGAGTTCCATAGAGGAAGGAGAAACTCACTGATTTGATTAAAGTTTTCTGGCCTAAACCCATCATTGTTCTCAATGCATTGATACATTCCTTATCATATAAGTACACATTTGAAGGTTCCAACCCACAAACGGACATTTCCCTCCCTCCCCTACTTGGGATTCTAGTAGTGCACTCCTGGGATAGCCAAAAGACCTTTTCTAAAGTTCACATATCATATATCCTACAGCACAGAATTAAATGCCTTTTTCTTATTTACATTAAGCCTCCTTTACACCATAGGGGCAACTCAGCAAAAGTGCAGATTGCATTTGCAGCCAATTTAATTTGAAACCGTATTTAGGAGCTGATCCATTTTCACCTATCCCAAAAGGTGAAAAACATCAGGAAACAGCTGGTGGACGTAATATTCAAGTAAAGTACAAAACTGGATCCATTTTTATAATATACAAGGATCCGATGCAAGGAATTTTTTTTAAAAAAACACACACACACATGAGTCTCTATTTACAAAGCCACAAACTGTCCATATGACTTTATACTCTGCCAGCCCTGTGTTAGTCTATAGTCATTTACACTAGTTGCATTCAAAACTCTAATGTAGCTAACTTCAAAGACCTTTCTTCTGAGGACAGCAGCATCAACTAGTAGAATAGTAAGTGCATTGTTTGGTATGTATCATTTAAAGTCCTCTTTTCATCCTCCCTCCTTGCGTGCTATATTTATATCCTTCCCATTTTTTATATTAAAAAAGAAACAGGAAGCAATATTTAAAAGTCATGTTTTTGTGGGAGGCTAGCAGTTTAAAATTAGCTGCATAAAACTGAATAAAAACAGTAGTTCAATATTACTCTGTCATGAGTGAAAGCGGCAGATTGTTGGCGCCACATGAAGGAGCCTAACATCTTAGCCCAGGGATTGAGAAGTAGGCAATCAAGAGATGTTATCACAATGCCCCGTCTGAAACATATGTTTGTTCATTGTTCCATACTTCCCAAGTTTGAGGAGAAAGTACTGGACTGCACAACTATGACTGTGCAGAAAAAGTTAAATCTTTCAGCGGACATGAACCATATACCTGTTGTGTGGAAATTTAAAAAACAGGGCAACGGAAATGGATTCTATGTGCCCTAAAGGTGGCCAAGAGACTTTATAGTGATGAATTGGAATAATAAAGATATGATACCCTTTAATCCATGGGTAGGCAAACTAAGGCCCGGGGGCCGGATCTGGCCTAATCACCTTCTAAATCCGGCCCGCGGACGGCCCGGGAATCAGCGTGTTTTTACATAAGTAGAATGTGTGCTTTTATTTAAAATGCATCTCTGGTTATTTGTGGGGCATAGGAATCCGTTCATTATTATTTTTTCAAAATATAGTCCGGCCCCCCCACAAGGTCTGAGGGACAGTGAATCGGCCCCCTGATGAAAAAGTTTGCTGACCCCTGCTTTAATCAATGGACCGACAATATGACAACAATACTCGCAACTTATGAACTAACTGCTTACAGATGTAGACCTTGTTTGGATGAATATGACAACATTTGGAATGAGTTTATACAGAATGTAGCAGGCTATTAACATCTACATATTTATTTGG